GTATACTTCAATTTTATTTCTATATACCAGCAACAAACAATTGGACAATAAAATTTTAGAAACTAATACCATTTACAATAACATCAAAAAACAAGATTTTTTAGGAATAAATTTAATAAAACACATACAAGATCTTAAATTTTAAACTACAAAACACTAATGCAAGAAATTAAAGAAGTGAATAAATCAACAAGTATACCATGTTCATGGACTGGAAGACTCAATACTGTTAGAACTTTTATTTCTCTCAAATTGATCAACAGTTTGAAGTAATCCTAAACAATATTCCTCCTAGCTTTTTTGTAGAAATTGACAGGCTGAGTGTAAAATATATATGATTATAGGAAAGAACTGGAACAGTCAAAACAATTTTGAAAAAGAACAGTTTGAGGACTTACACTGCCTGATTTCAAAACTCAACTACAGAGCTACAGTAATCAAAATAGCATGACATTGATTTAGAGACATGCATCAACATAATAGAACAGAGTCCAGAAACAGAACCACATATATACAGTCAACTGATTTTCAAGAGGTGTCAAAGTAATTCAATGGGGGAAAAGAGTCTCTTCAGTAAATGATGGGGAAATAAGTTGATATCCATATGAAAAACAAATGATCCTGGACTCTTACTTCACAGCATACCTTAAATTAAACTCAACATGTATCATAGACCTAAACATATAATCTAAATCTATCAGCCTTTTAAATTCAGGATTCAGAGGGGGCAGCTGCCTGTTTTTATAAATAAAAGTTTGGGGGGAAACACAGCCATTCCTAAATGTTTATGTATTGTCAATAATTGCTTTTGAACTACAACAGCAGAGTTGAATAGTTGAGGTGCTATAGTCTACAAGCCTAAAATATTTATAATCTAGTCCTTTAAGAAAAAGTTCGAGAATCCCTCACTTTCAAGAAAACATGGGAGAAAATCTAGGGAACAATTTCTCAAACAGACACAAGAAGCAAGAACCACAAAAGAAAACATTGGTAAACTGGACATCATCAATATTTAGAATCTCTGCTCTTTGAAAAACAACTTAAGAAATGAAAGACAAGCCACAAATTGGGAGAAAATATCTGACAAAGGAATTGTATCCAAATTATATCAAGAACTGTTACAACTCAATAAGAAACAAACAACCCAATAAATTAATGAGTAAAATATTTGAACAGAAACTTTGCAAAAGAAGATACACAAATGGGCAATAAGCACATGAAATAGTGTTCAACATCATCAGTATCAGGGAAATGCAAATTTAAACCACAATGAGATACCACTAAATATCTATGAGAATTCCTAATTTTAGCTTGAATTAAATATCAAATTTTGGGTAGGATGTAGAGCAACTAAAACTCTCACACATTGCTGCTACATGAAGTACCCCTTTGGAAAAGAGGCTGGCAGTTTCTTAATACAATTAAACATACATTTACCATACAACCCAGCAGAAATGAAAACATATGTTCATCCAAAAACTTGTACATAAATGTACACAGCAACTTTTTGTCATGATAGTCAAAAACTGGAGAAAAACCAAAGGTCCATCAACAGATGAATGCATAAACAAATTGTGACATAGCCTTAAAATGGAATACTATTTAACAATAGATATCCACGAGATAGCAAAAACCATGGGTGAATCTCAAAAGCATTATGTTAAACGAAAGAAGCCAGGCACAAATGAATACATACTGTATAATTTCATTTACATTAATTCTAGAAGATGATGAACCTAATCTTTAGTAACAAAAAGCATGAATCGTTGCCTGGGGACAGGGGTTGTGGTATGATGGTGGGGGAGTTCCAAATGAGCACGAGGGAACTTTTTGGAGTGATGGCAATGTTCTAAGATCTTGATTTACAGAGGTGATTACATGGGTGTACACGTTTGTCAAAACTCACTCAAAGTGTATAAAAATCTGATAGCATGCTGGTGCTCAATGAATATTAGATAAATAAATTATAAAATTACAGAATGTTACATTTGAATAGTCCTTCAAACTCAACTGACTCCTTTCCTTAATACTTTTCAAACTATTTTCCATCTTCTTTCTTGGGAAGGAAGACTATGGTATTTGAAAACTTTCCCAATGACAAATATTGAAACATTTTCTAAGAAAAAGAAAAATTCTTATCTAAGGAGGCAGTATAAGCAAAAGGCTATTTTGCTTATCAGAGTAATAATAAAGATAAAGAAGGAAGGGTAAACACTCCACAAAAATCCTCATGTACCAAAACGTGTTCCTGACTTTCCTTTTAAACCTCCTTGTTTCTTTACACATCCATGTGTCCTTATGTACTGTGGCTCATCATCATCTGGAGCTGAGGTAGGAAACGAAAAACAAACAAAATAGCCTTCAAAGCAGAATCACGGAAGCTGATCAACATCCTGGTATGCATTACAGATAACCAGCAATTCTGTCCAGAAGGTCCTTTCTGCCTTCTGTGCTTACAGAAATTATTCTCTTAATTTCAATCTCACACAAAACATCATTTCTTCCAAGAAGTCTTTTCATTTCATTCCCTCCACTGAAAATAAATCATCCCTCTACTTTCCTATAGGACATTCAATATGCTTTCCTGGGTAACCCAATATATTATGCCTTGGGCCCTATCAATTTGTAACTACCTATGAAAGTTTCCACAGGACCCTGTCTAACATACAGTGGGATGAAACTAAAGTATCAGGGTGACTGCTGAATGAATCACCAATGGCACAGGAATGCAAATCCTTCCGGGGGCCTTCTGGGTGTGAGCTTTGTTCAACATAGTGCTGACTCCTGGGACCAACAGCAGTGGTTGTAGAAGCCCACATTCCTAGGTCAAGGGCTTCTACAGCTGGGAAGTGAAGGCACCGATAATTTAGGTGGATGTTCTATTTTAGGCAGATGGGCAGAGTAGGAACGACCAGCCACCACTGATTTGCTGAACAGTGCTTTCTTCATCTCAGCCAAAGTTCTATTTCTTACCAATTTGGGGACTGAAACATTTTCTACCCAGGCCTACCTTACTTTCCTTCAAGTTCACTCTCAAACCTTTCTCAGAATCAGGAGACCAGAGCTATTTGTACCATAAAGCTAATGAATTTTAAGTGTCAGGGCTCCTCACTTGCTCTGTTCCTACAATCAGGAAGCATTTCTAATTATGCATTTCTGGCAAACTGCCTAAAGAAATCTCTGAAGAAAGGAATCTAAATCTCTAAGATTCTCATAATTTGTTCTGACTTCTTTACTCATGAATTCTTTTTTCTGAAGAGAAAACCCCTTTCCCAAACGGAACGAAGATGCAAAGCTAATTCCCACTAAAAGAGGAAAGGAAAAGAGAAATGAGGAACAAAAAGCTTGATGGCAATTTTGGCTCCACCAGTGTCTTGGAACTTTCACCAAACACTTAATACTCCCCAAATATCCAATATTAGAAGACTGAGGACATCAAAAAAATCCCCAAACCCCAATGTACAGAGAGGTAGTGGTAAAAACAAAAACCAAAAACAAATAAACAAAAAACACCTCACCCTTGTCTGCAAAGAGTGGTGGTGGTGAAAAAGCGAGATAGACCCTGGACATTTCAGATGGGCTCAAAGACAAGGAGAGCCCCTGGCTACTCTTCTGGCCAAAGGAAGACCGCCCTCAGCACCAAGTTTCCATGATAGGGTCCTGGGACATCCAGGGAACAAACAAACTCACAGGGATACGTTGTCTTCCTAGTAGCTCCAAGCCCCCGCCTGTCAATTCCATTTTGCAAAGCACAGGACTTGTCCTAGAGCCAAGGCTTGGGAAAAGGTGGACGGAGGGGGTGGAGGTGAAGGGCCAGTTACTTGGGAAAAAGAGGAGTAGGGAGAGGGGAGTCATGTGGAGAGAGTGACAGAGAAGCTTGAGTGGGGGCACTCAGAAAGGGAGAGTGTTTTTCTACCTTCAGTTCTTCCCCCACCTCTCCAAATAATAAACAGCCTGGGCCTAGATGACGTGAAGTGTGATAAGAAAAGGTAGATATGGAACACGAGATGTCTGTTATTTTATCTCATCCTTGCCAGTTGTCAGACTGAAATTTCAGAAAACACCACCAAACTTCCAAAAAGATCCCAAGCGAGGAAGACGAACATTAAGTCCCCGTGAAGGAAACCAATAGGGTATGGGGGTAAAGGAAACCCCGAACTGTGCACAGAGGCGATGAGGGCGTGTAGCCAGAAAAGGGAGAGGGACTGCAGGACGCTCGGGGGGAGAACCTGGAATGGGATGAAAGTCCGCCGGGCGAGCCTTTCCCCCGCGGCCGCGCGGCGTCGCCTAATTCAGGACACCCAACCGGGGTCCAAAGTGTCCGCGCAGCGAATGCTCGCGCCCTTCCCGGTTCCTCCGCTCCTACCGCACCCGGGGCGCCGTTCGCCCCGTCGGACCCCTCCCAGAGGACCAGCAGCACAGAGGACACGAGCCCGACCCTCAGCCGCCTCGGCTCGGGGCCGCCGCATGGGCCACCCACACCCTGGACCGCAACTGGACCGCCGCATCGCCGACGACCCCAGCCCCAAGCCCCAGCTGCCGCGGCCGGAACGAACGCCGCCGCCCCACACTCACCGCGGCGCTCCATCCCGCGTCTCGGACGCGGACGCCCGCCCAACACTCACGGCCGCCGCCGCCTCCGCCGAGGGCTGGAGCTCGCC